AGCAGGAATCCCATAATCATGTGTTCCTGGCTTTCATGTTTCTCCTTAGAGTTAAGGTTCCAGCTACATCTGTTTTGTAACAGCTTTTTGTTAGTTGCTCAGAGTAGTTTCTCAGGTGATTTCCTCGTCTGGCCCAAATTACTCACATAATGAGCAATATCTGTTTAAATCCCTCACAGTTTTTTAGTGTTAATTTCTACATCTGCAAAGATGGTTCCTGTAATTCTTCTATGACCACTTAACCTCCTCTCAAACCTGTATGGCCACCCTGGTGTTTGCTATGTCCCAGAAGATTGGCAACAGTACTGAAAAAGCAGAGATATGTTCGCAATAATCTTCAAAGAAGAGCTCTGACTTTCTTCTTTTCCACTCAGGTGCTCACTGTGAAATGGAGATCAATGAATGCCTTTCGAACCCATGTCTTAATAGGGCTATTTGTGAAGACAGAGTTGGTGGTTTCTCCTGCAAGTGCCTCCCAGGTTTTACTGGTTTCTTCTGTGAAAAAAACATTGATGAGTGTCTCAGCAGGCCCTGTAGGAATGGAGCTACGTGCAGAGATGGTATCAACAGCTTCAGGTGAAGAAACAGATTAATTGATGTAATACAATGTGGAAAATCAGATATGTTGAGGAGCTGTAGCCTTCTTAGATTTCAGCAAGGCAACATGCTTCCATATATATGGTCCCCTTATGCCCATTAAAGGAGATTTTTAAAGGCAAAAAAATAAATCCTAGTGTCTTCACTCTTAAAAAATTCCAAGAAAATGGGCAGAGTTTGAACTGTAAGCATGGTTGGACTGCGTAGTTTTAACACTGATCTTCCAAAAGAAGTCTGCTTTCCCACGCTTCAAGGCTTATCTTGCTTTCCAGTAGGAGAGTAGGTGATGACAAGGTACCTGATAATACTACATTTCTATAGCTGGGAAGACAGGGATAACTGTATGTACTGAGAATATAGAGATTGAATTACAAACATCAGTGGAATCTTCCAAATACTTATTTTTGTAGTTTATGGTATCTGAACTCAGATCAGAAGTTACAAATACCAATAGCAGTGCCACTTTCAGTTTCACGTGGAGAAGTGCAGACACTGTGTTGAAATATTGTATTGTCCTTATCAAGAAGAAATATTATGTGGCAAGCATAATTCAAGCATACTCAAAGGAACAACCAAAATAAAACTCCATTAACTCTGTAGTATCTCTTCTGTTGATTTGCTTTTTCATTATGTGCTGTTCCCACTGGCAGACCTGACTTCATGGCCAGGATTCTGTGTTGTGACAGTAGCCATCTTTTCCCCTGTAGGTGTCTGTGTGTGACAGGGTACACAGGACTTAACTGTGAAGTGAACATCAATGACTGTGACTCCAGTCCCTGCTTAAACCAAGCTACCTGTGTGGATGCCTTGAACTCGTACGTTTGTAAATGTCCCCCTGGCTTTACAGGCAGCAGGTGTGAAACAGGTACACAGGACCAAGTGTCAGCAAAGGGTGGCTTGACTAAGTCTCTGGGCCAGATTTGCACTGGGTGAGCTGATTTAATACAGCATCCCCAGAATGCAGCTTAGGGTGGTGGGACTGTGAAAGGCTGAGTGGAGCCTATGTGACTGCACTGTTAATAAGTGTAATTGCAGACAAATAAGAGCATGCATGTGTACTATGTCATATTTATGTTAATTTCTCTTTTCTAAGGCACAGTTCTATATTTTTAATACCTAGTCGGTCTATTGAGTTTAATTTCTATTTGTTCAGTGTATCGGAGTAAATTAGCTCTTTCTGTTACTTGTATTTCATGTAGGGCTTTGCATCTCAGAGTTAAGAGTTTAGTATGTGGTAGTATCACCTTTAGAAGTCCTAAAGGCATCAAGTTTCTCTCAGGCAAAAGGGTATCAGGTTGCCAATGGTGGGGCAAAATGGGTCAGACCTAGTGCAACCTCTTGTATGATGCTGGAGTAAGGCCACACAACCACGAGGCTCAAATCCATTTCTCTTTTAGCCACCCCTTGAAAATTTTAAAGTGTTAATCTAGTAGTGAATCTTTAAACAGAATAAACCATGTTGATTTTACAAATAACAGGTCATTTAGACCTGCCATCCTGTGTCAGAGTTAAATAATACCCAGCTTTCAAGAGGGCTCCATTTGGTATATTTACATGGAGTATCCCTGTAAAGAGTGTCACTCTGTATTGAAGAGCTGCACAGAAGCACAGTGTCATACCAGTACAGTGTATTTCATAAGTCTGGAACAGAAAATATCTGTTGGGTTTTTTGTTGTTGTTGTTGTTTTAAATTTTAAATCTTTACTCTTGTGAATAAAATGGAACCAGTTGATCACACCTTTTGCGATTGTTGGATGGCGTATGGATATGTCATTTCATTGACAGAGGACTGAGAAGTGAGGTTCATGCTTGTTGTTTGTAACTAATCATATTCTTGTCCAGTCATTTTTCTTCAAACCTTATGTGTTTTCTAGTCTTGGAAAGCTCTGTATGCTGGCTGATGTTAGACTGCTATACATTGTTTCTGCCCCTGATCAATTTAAAGTGAATAATTTTTGTAGATGGATTGCCTTCCATTTTATTGCGTTTGCTTAGGTTCAATTTTATTGTCTTTCTTGGTTTTCAAGAATGAATTTCTGAAAACTCTTGTCTTTGTTGCAGAACAGTCCTCTGGTTTCAATCTTGATTTTGAAGTCTCTGGTATCTATGGATACGTCATGCTTGATGGTGTCTTCCCATCTCTTGGTGACATCACCTGTGCATTCTGGATGAAATCCACTGACACCACAAACTATGGGACTCCCATATCTTACGCAGTGGAGAATGGAAGTGATAATGCATTTCTTCTGACTGATTACAATGGGTAAATCACAGTTCTGCTTTTCTGTATGTTACCGATGTCTTGAATTGATAAAACAAATGTAGACCAGAAGTCGGAATACCCTTCTTTGGGGTAGAAAAATCTGCATCCAAACTCTATAGCTGAAGTTGTCTCTTCCTTTTTGTTTTTTCTCCTTGCTTTGCTTTCTTCATTTTCTGCCAAGTAGAAGAGTAAAGGCAAGAAAGCGGTGAAGTTTAGAAAGTGTGATATTTTTTTCTGGACTATATTTACATCATATTTAAATGATGCATTGAGACAATGATTGAATCAAATGGAGCTCAGCACTCAGAGTGCTTGTAGTGTGACTCCAAAAGCAGAAATGGGCCTAAGGGACAAGTTTAAGAATCTGCTATGCAGCCATGACTTCAGTCTTCATGTTTTGATACATTGGGTGATGGTCTTTCAAGAGAGATTTCTTGTATGATGTAGACAGGGTTACCTCGTTTGGCAAATAACATTTATTTGGGTCATATGAGACAGGCCATGCTTTTAAATGTGCTGCCTGCAAGTGAGTAGATCTTCATCTTACTTCCCTGCAGCTGGGTTCTTTATGTAAATGGAAAAGAGAGGATCACAGACTGCCCTTCAGTGAATGATGGTAACTGGCATCACATTGCAGTCACATGGACATGCACAGATGGGGCATGGAAAGTGTACATCGATGGAAAACTGTCTGATGGAGGCAGTGGGCTCTCCGTTGGCTCAAAAATCCCTGGTATGCTTTATTTATGTTGTACCAGATTTGTTGCCTTGTTTTTATTGCAGAATTTTCTATGCTTGCAAGGAAGTGTTTATTTTGCTGATTTTAGTTTTCACATTTCCAACATTTGTGTAGAGCTTATGTTTGCTGTTCTTGTTCATGTTCCCTCAGCCTCAGCGAAGACAAGCTGCACATTTCTAGGGTAAACTAGTAGGGGGTGGCAGAACTTAGTTCACAAAGGAGCCTGTGCTGAGTTGATCTTGGAATGACTTTTTGAAAATAAGTTTCTCACACAACAAACTTAAGTTGAACTGCCATTTCCTTTACAAATGTGTGCTTGGAATTGGTTGAATTAGTCTTCTCCTATTGCTTTCATATTTTTGAAGTCATGTTTGCATTTGTTCCTAACAAGGTGGGTGGGTTTTTCTATTCATTGTTTCCTGTGATCAGTGGTCTTTCCAGTAATATCAGAAGGCATGAGAAGGAATACCTTTGCCATTGAAGAGTCAGGAAAAGCTTGATGTTAGATTGCTGCAAAGACATTTTGTTTTTACAGTGTTGTCATACTACCACTGCCCAAATTTACGTAGATTTTCAAAGAACTATCCGTATTAGGAAAGGGGAAAAAAAAATAAGTGAAGCATTTTACTTTATGTACTTTATGCTTGTCCCTGTCTTTCCCAGTTATAGTGAAGTTATGTCCAGAGACAAGACCTAAGGAGGTGTGCAGTCTCCATTATTTTTTGCCCTTGTCCACACACCCTGAGAAGTACAAAATGCATGTCCACATCATTTACATTATTGGACAAGGAAAGGAAATTTAACTAGTATGGCATGTCATAATGTTGACTGTCTAATCACCAATGTGCTTCTGAGGTGTTGAAATAAACTTTGTTCTACCTGACTTTCTGAGACTTTGTTTAAAGCAGGAAGTGCAAGCTAGTTAGCACTGTGAAAGATGTGCTGCCTGCTCAACGATGCATTTTGCATTGTTCTCTAATATGCTTCAAATACTGAGCTAGAAGTTGTCTCTTAGAGCCAATACCATTCCTGAAGCAGCCATGTGAAGTTTCTGGTCTCATCAGCATAAGTTAGCTGATGTAGCATTAATGCATACTTAAGAGTCACTACTAAATTGTTATACTTCCTCAATCTAGCCTAAGGTTTCCCAGAAGTTTGCTTGGAGAATTTGTTCAAGGTGGCTGGTAACAGAAGTTTTGTTTTGTTAAGTTTTTTATCTTCCTATGAAGATCCCTGATGTAAGGCTTTGTTTCCTGTCCCTGTTCTAATTCTGTCTGAGTTTAGGTGGTGGTGCACTTGCACTGGGTCAAGAGCAAGATCAAAAAGGAGAAGGATTCAACCCAGCTGAATCTTTCGTGGGCTCGATTAGCCAGCTTAACATTTGGGACCATGTTCTGTCTCCACAGCAGGTAAGTCCTTACTGCAGTGCTGCCTGTAGAATATCACATTTGAAAAGGCATGTTGTTGGCATATTGGATAGACTTCTGTTCCCATGGAGGTCAGTGGAGACCAGATGAAGCTCTGGCTTAGGATTGGTGAGTTTAGCATAGTAACTACAGTTAGATGTGGTAAAATCAACACTGAAGTCACCTACTATTTTGACTGAGCCTTTCTCTAATATGTAGCTTTGAAAGAGAAATGAAGGCAGAGGTAGCAGTCCTGTGAGAAGAGAGAGAAAACCCAATTAAATGAGCTCAGGGCTGGTATTACAGGTTACAGTTCCCTCATCCTACTGTGTGGAAGCACCAGGAAAACTTCAGAAGGAAGGTATCAGAATGTCTGTCAGTGTGTGAGACACTATGAAAAATCTGAGCTATATAGTCCCAGGAGAAGTCTGAATGGGCAGCATAACTGGGCTACTTTTATTGAGGTATCAAAAGAAAAGGTTAGGCAGTAAGCTTTCACAGAGTTAAAATATTAGTAGAGATCAAAAGTTATCTCCAAGGAGAGTTATCCCTCAATTTCTCTTGAGAGACAAGCTTCAGTGCTCAGTTATACTCAGAATTTTTTTCTCTATGTCTAGTTGGGACCTCCCACTTCAGTTTATCCCCATTGTTTCTGTCTCACACCATGCACTACTGTGAAGAGCCTAACTCTATAGTTAATAACCTCCCCACTGCTGTTAGGAGTCCCCAAAGCTGTCTCAGCACCGGACTGAACCAGCCTTGGTCTCACAGCCTCCTCTCACAGGGCAAACGCTCCAGCCCGTCACCTTTTTGATGCCCTCCCCTGAGCTTGCTCTGGCTTGTCAATGTGTTTCTTGTACTGAGGAGCCCAAAATTCAATGCACTACTCCAAATGTCATTTAATAAGCACTGAGAAGCAGGAATAATCCCATCCTTGATTTTCTGGCCATGAGCCTTCACACAGCTAAGGATGCTCTTGGTCCTTATTATTGCCAGGGTGCACAGCTGACTGATACTCAGCTTGCTGCCAACCAGAGCCTCTAAGTCTTGTTCCACAGAGCTGCTCCCTCTCCAGATTTTCCCCAGCTTTTATCATTCAGAAGTTTTTCTTTGCCATTTGTTCTAGTTTTCCCATTTTCCCATTCGTTCTTGTCTACAGAGTGTGGAAACAAAGACAGGTAGCTTGGGAGAAGTACAAAGAAGTCTGAGCAGCCAGGGATCAGGTTAGAAAAGCTAAAGCCTAGATAGAATTAAATCTGGCTGGGGACATCAAGGATAACAAGAAAAACTTCTACAGGTTGGTCAGTGATAAAAGGAATACTAGGGAAAATGTGGTCCCTCTCCAGAAGGAAACAGGAGACCTTGTCATACAGGATATGGAGAAGGCTGAGGTACTCAAAAACTTTTTTGCCTCAATCTTCACCGTTGTGGGCTCAGGCCACACCACCCAAGTTGCAGAATGCAAAGGCAGGGACTGGGAGAAGAAAGATCCCCTCACTGTAGAAGAGCAGGTTCAAGACCATCTGAACAACCTGAAAGTGCACAAGTCCACGGGACCTGATGGGATGCATCCACAGTCCCTGAGGGAACTTGTGGGTGAAGTTGCAAAGCTGCTTTCCATCATATTTGAGAAGTCGTGGCAGTCTGGTGAAGTTCCCACTGACCAGAAAAGAAGAAACATGACCCCCATTTTCAAAAAGGGAAAAAAGGAAGACTCGAGGAGCTATAGGCCAGTCAGTCTCACCTCTGTGCCTGGCAAGATCCTCCTGAATTCTCTGCTAAGGCATATGGAAAATCAGAAGGTGGTTGGTGGCAACAAACATGGCTTCACCAAGGGTAAATCATGCCTATCATTGTGTAATGAAAGAGTGGTCAGGCACTGGAACAGGCTGCCCAGGGAGGTGGTTGAGTCACCATCCCTGGAGGTATTCAAGAAACATGTAGATGTGGCACTTCACTTCATGCTCTAGTGGCTGAGGCTGTGGAGTTTTTTTATTAAGTGTGTGTACTTGTTTGTGTTAGTTTGGGGGGTTTTTTGTGTTGATGGTTGGACTCTGTGATCTCAGAGGTCCTTTCTAACCATGACGATTCTGTGATTCTGTGAGTACACACTGTTGAACTGACATCTTTGGAATGGCCTCAGAATAAACAGAACAGGTGGACTCTTCTCCAGCTAAGCTGACTCTAGAAGAGTCTGATCCACCTCCATGGAGATCAGGGTAGAGGGAGTATAAGAGTAATTCAGTCAGAGGTTCATAATGTGCCTCCTTTTCTCATGAAGACAGACAGTATAGTACATTGTTCTTGGTAGCTGATTTAGTTTACTGGAGACTTGACAGAAGCCAGTCACACTTCTGAGAAGAGCAGTTTCCCATCTCTTTGGCTTGAACAGGGCACACTTGTGCTTTCTAACCAGCTGGCTGTGCCTTGAAGCTGTGCTGCATGTATTGTACAGGTAGGTTGGCTGTGCTGAGAGGTACACAGCCCACTGACCTGCTCATCTTTGCTCTTCTTAATTCAGTTTTTTCATGGTGCTGAAGAAAACTTTCCTTTCTCTCTGCCAAGAAATTACTGGAATTACCTTCCAGCACAGAAGAGCCAAAGATTATGAAGTAGTTTCAGTAGCCTAATACTAATGTGTTCCTTAATTGAATAACCATCTTTTCTCTGTAGAACATTTCACCCTCTGATATCTTCAAAGAAGGGGCAATCTTTAGTTATCCCTTTACTATTCAGTTGTCCTCCTCAAGGCACATGTTTCTTTCAGCAGTTCACCGGCTGAGATATGATTGTGTCTGTCCTGACATGGAGAAACGTAATGGGGAGCACTGTGCCAATAGTACACCTTAGTCCCAGTCCCCTTCTGGGACTAAGTTGCCTTTCTGTTCCTGGAGTTCAGTTAACAAAGGCAATGCTGAGTTAATCCAAAGCCCTGCTCTGTCATTTGCAGTTTTAAAACATTTTCATGTAGCAGAAATCTCTCTGAGCATCCAATGGAACTAGACAGCCTTCTTTTCTACAAATGTTGGGGTTGGGACATCTAAGCACCTTCTAGGAGTCCTCTATGGAATATTTATGCAACATCCCATCATTAAGGATCTGACTGCATATTGTTACTATTGCATGTAATTTACACTGGAGTCTGAATAGCTTGAAAGTACTGTGCTATTTGGGGTTCTAGTCCCCAGGTTCCTTCTGTTAGTTGGCAGACAGACAAACAATGTTACTATGTTTATTGTATTCTCAAGAGTCACAGTGAAGAAAGAGAAATGTTTTTTCCTTATTATTTTTTTTTCATTAAAATGCAGTACTGAAACAGCGTAAGGATTGATTCCTACTGGCACTTCAGTTTCTTGTAGTAAGAATGCAGAAGAAACTCCTGGTCATGCAGTTAAAGGAGTTATGTTTTAAATGTGAAACTTCCATCAAAAATATTTGACCAGATCTTCTCTCAAGATACTAATCTGCTGTTGATCTAAAACTATGTTTCTTTCTTTTTCCTATCCTTAGTTTGCTTGTAAAATTCCAGTTTCAGTATGTGGTCAGTTATGGCCCCGTCCTGCTTTAGTTGAAGTCAGTGACAATATTTCTGTCAGTATTGGTGTGGGTAGCCCTTGCCTGCAGTGTTTTCAAGAGCCACACACTAGCCTGGTGAATGAATGCATAAAACTCTCATCCTGGAAACAACAAATTGTTTTATTAGACTTCTCCTTTTTGTTTTTCTGTTCCTTAAACATGATGCAGGGCTAGCACAGTTTGAGGAGTGCAGGTCTTCAACATTAAGTTCCTTTTTCCTCCTATTTGTCATTTTTCTGCAAGTTTTCTCTTCAGATTGCATTCTCATACCTGCCTTTTTCTGAGACATAAATACATTTTTCCTTCATGCTAGCAAATGCAGTTGTGTTTCAAAAACTATGTGTTATACTTTGCTTGGATAACAGAGATTCTTTCAGGCATTGCCTCAAGTACATGCTTGTCCACAGGTACATGGTTTATAGGTACAGAAAAATCAGTAGTTCAGCCAGAAGCCTCTTGCGCTAGAGAAGATGAACATCACTTACTCAGTTATTTGTTCTACTGTTGCATGCAGACATGGAAGGAATATTTTTTATTCTTTTCCTACATTATCCTTAAACAGCACCTAATCAACTGTTTTAAATCCATAGGTAAAATCTCTGGCTACATCCTGTCCAGAAGAGCTCCAAAAAGGAAATGTACTAGCCTGGCCAGATTTCCTGCCAGGAGTTGTTGGAAGAGTGAAGATAGATTACAAGAGTATATTTTGTGCTGGTTAGAACTTTATTTCCTAGAACTCTTTTTTTCTGAACAATATTATACGACTCTTTTGTAAGGTCAAATATGCTAGCTTGCAGCCTTTGCCCTACTAACCTTGAATAAATTATTTTGATTATTTGACAGTTAGAACATTCAGTCCTTCATTCCTCAAATTCCAGGGTTTTGTAACAAAAGTTCATTGGAATCTCTGACAGCAATTTATTGTTTCCTGAATGAAGGAATTGGGGAAAG